TCCGGAAATTCCCGTCGCGACCCGCGACGCAGCTGACGGTGCCGACCGATGAACGCTTCGACTTCGGCGAGGAGCTCTTACCGGAGGTCAGCTGGGAGGCTACACTCGAGCTGGAGGACGACGTCTTCGAGGTCGAGAAGATCTTGAACGTGCGCGAGGGGTGGGCTACCCGGTAGGGGCGCACGCGACGCGAATTTGAAGTGAACGCGGAGGCGGCGGAGCCTGGTGGGTGAGCGCCCACGGGTGCGACTAAGTCGGCAGGTGGTCGCCCGCATGTGGCCGACGGGAGTTCCGAGACGAACGCCACGATTGCTACGCAGCGCCAGGCACATGGAGCTCGTGGGTAGACTCCCAGTACGCCTGTGCCCAACGCTCGACGTGGTGCCGAAGTCGACGCACAAACGGCTGGAACGCGGCGTCGCCCGACGCGAACAGAACCGACTCAACCTCCTGAGTCAAGTAGCGCCATGGTCGCGTGGCGTACAATGCGCCGACGTTGGCGCGCGTTATCAAGGCACGGTTCCAGTTCGCCGGTTCGGGAACAGGTACGCGGGGGCAGATCCAACCCCCCGGCGGCAAGAAGCGCGCTTGCAATTCGCGAGCTGTGATGGTGTGAAGCCGAAGACGACGCACGCACTTGGGCCATGGAAAGAAGCGGCGCTGTGTCCAACCCGACGGCGAGCCCGCCGGGGGGATTACTGGAACGAAGAACGGCGCCACAGGGGCGGCCCCCTCTGAGCCACTGGACACGGAACCGGAAGACGAGGAGTTGACATAAGATGGCGAGGACGAACCGCCGCCGTTGGAGTCGCCAGGCCCGCCGGGGTGGGTCGCCGAACAAGTCTGAGACGGTCGTCGGCCTCGCGTGGGAGAACCGGCCGACTGCGAGGGCGACGCAGGGCGACGCGAACGGGTCGACGGAGTGGAGGCAGCCGACCCTGCGGAACGCGCCGAGCCGACAGAGCGATTCGAAGAGTGCGACGCAGAGCGTGAACGCGACGCTGAACGCGAAGCCGAACTCGATGCCGAGGCCGAACGGGAACGCGGACGTAAGGTCGAACGAGGACGCGAACGCGGAGGGTAGCGCGAGCGGGAAGAAGGGCTTCGCAAGCGACAACGTTTTGGCTTAGGAGAGTGCGTCCCAGCATCGCTTTCCGAAGGCTCCGAACCGAAGAGCGACGCGTCTGCACGAGCACGTAGCCGCAGCCACAGCCGTACTCTCCGAAGGGGCGGTGTCAGCTCTCGTAGAAGCCCGTTGACGCCGCCGCCATGGCGAAGAATTCGACGTGGAGGTCGCTGGGCGCCCTGCGCGGCCCGAAGAAGAGTGCCGAGAGCCTGAAGGTCTGGATCCATTGGGTCGAGGCTGACGTGTACCCGACACGGAAGAGGCTGGGGAAGGCAAGGGCGGTGCGCTCCACTTGCGCAGACGACACAGCCAGCCGCTTCGAGGTCCTCGGTGTCGAGTTCGTCGTCGACAACCTCTACGTCAGCGGCACGTACGTCGTCGCGGCGAGCCATGGGCCGGGGAAAACAGCGGAGATACGCGGCAACTGGAGAAGCTTTAGCAGAGCGGGGCACAACGAACGCGGGCGAGTTCTGCGACGACACACCCATCTGGGGGGTGCGCGTGCGTGGCAGCGGGACGGATGTGGAATAGCGCCTCGCGAGATGTCGCGCGCCAGGAAGCGAGTGACGGGAAGTGCCGAGACGAGAGTGATGACAATCGACGAGGCGGATGGAACACGACGCGTCGGGATCGCCGAGGAGGTTGACGGGGTGATGGACCGTGTAACACACGAACTAGCTGCGGAAGCGTAGGTCATCGACACTTCAGCATACATGTGTATCGGTTTTGGGTTCAGTTCCGGGTAAGTTTCGATGTACAGTAAAAAGTGTAATTAGTCTGGATGCCTATTTAGTCTGGACGCTCAATTAGTCTGGTCCATACTATTAGCGTCCTCGAACGTCATGGTCACCAATCCAGACTAATTATGTCGTAAGATTCAGTCAGCTCAAACGTGGATAAACTGTTGATGATTCAGCCATGAATCGATCCGGTTTGACCGGAAGTGATAAAATTTGATTTAAAAGCGATACTATCAGGGCCAAACGTAAGTTAAACTCCTCTTCCAAAAGTTTGGACACATTTAGTCTGGATGCGTATTTAGTCTAGGTGAGCAATTAGTTTGGATAGCTCGAGTCCAGACTAAAAGCGTTCTGATCTTTTCAAAATCGCCGCCGCAATTAGCCTGGTCCAGACTAATTACACTTTTTACTGTACCAATCTATCAATACGTGTACCAGCTGTGTTAACTTTAAACGGGGTGGTGTTCGCGATATAATCGTCTCCAGCAGCCATACCTATCGTAAATGCTGCTATCCCAGTAAAAAAAAGGTTTTATTGAATAGGACGGGAAATCGATGTGGCAACTACATGCAACGTGTCGGGATGATCAAGATGGTGATGATGGTGATCAACTCCTGTGCTCCTTCACTGCAACAAGACAATCGTCTCATATCCATCAGCCGTACCAAAAATGCAATAGCACTTTGAGAAATCGCGCTCAAAAAAGATCGTGAGTTTCTTGGGTATATCATCCGGTCCTTGTAGAAACGGAAATCGAAAACTGCGTAGTCTTTGGCGGCGAGGGGGGCATACTTTCCATTTTCCGCAAACCGGTTAATATGTTCTTTGATCTTGCTGCCTTTCACGAGTAACTCGATGGCCCAGCGTATGTCTCCATCGAGATAAAAGTCAACTTCGCCACGAATACTCTGAACGGTATCCGACTGGCCCGACTCACCACTAGTACTTCCCACTTGGTCATCATGAAATATTTCCGAGAGCTCCAGGCAAATGGAAACTGACTGGTACGAGACCTTCCATAAACAAATGCTGAAAGGTAGCTTCCTTTTGGGAATTTATCGCCAATTGTCGATCCACGAAGACGAGATTGAGACAAATTGCTAACCACCACGTGGATCATCTTCGAGCGATGTCAGAGATGGAGGCACAGGACTATCTTTTGGGAACAGCCGCCGTAAGAAAAGTCGTTTTGCTAGTGGGGATGCGGAAACCACCATGCTGTTGTGATGAGTAATGATGCCGGCTTGCTGCAAGCTGACAAGGCACTGCCTCTCCTTATCGCTCCACAGGCTATCTTCGGAATCATTGTCGTCTAGTAGGCACTTGATTAAAAATGCTGCGACCGGCGGTGGGGGTATCACATGGCTCGCATCAGCACTATTGAAGCAAAAACCACAAACGTAAAATGACGTTGGAGGGCAGACGGATGTTGTGAGCAGTGTTTAGCTTGTTTGCGGGTGGTACTTGAAGTAGTTACAACCGCTTGTGGCTTCGAAGTATTCTTGAGCATCTAGTGCTTCTTGCAGTCTCGGTTGGATGGGTCTTCACATCCGGGCTTTCCTCCACCATTACCGGGGCTACCACCATTGTAACCATCTTGCGCTTCTGCTCGGACGTTCTGGGCGGCGAAGACTTGGGCCACACAGAGGGCGGCAACGACGACGGCGATCACAGCTTGGATAATTTTCATGGTTCTTGGTTGCGGGGAAGCTTGGTCGAACGTTGACAAATTGGAGAATGAGGACTTCCTGGCAGCTTACGTATCTTGCCCTGCGATTAAATTACAGTACATGTATTATACATGTTGTGGAGCATGGTAAAATCCTGCCATTGTCCCATCACAGCCGGGTAGTCTCGGCAAGCGATTCTCTTGCCTTCCACTTGAGATCAATACATTTGCCCTAAGCGCGCCTGCGAACGTAAAATATGACGGTGCCGAGAACGACTTCCAGATGTGCCGCCATAATCGCTTCCCGCAAAAGTTTACGATGTCGGGAACTCCTGGATGTGTCGCCACAATCAGAAAATGACGAGGCTTCCCAGTAAACCTAAATGTCCACGCCACACATGCACACTAGCTCTTGCCTTTGCTGAATTCGTTATGCCGTATACATTCAGACAACGAACGCTAAAATCCGCTTCATTGGAAAAAAGTCCAACTTGATTCCCCCCCCCTCAGTGCTATCTTAAATTAATACTTGGTGCAATTAGGGAACTGTCTGCTCTCCAAGATGATATAGTATTGATCTACAGTAGTAACCAAGCAAACAAAGAACTTGAATGACATAATTGTTCTTCATGGTGTCGGTAAGTTATTAACATAGGAGACAATACTTGCACGAGAGTTTATAAAACACTACTGTAGCTACTTTTTTATTTAGTTTAAAAAAAGTATGTGAGAATGATAATGGATCGACACCTGGTGCCACTTGCTTGTCCAACGAACAGGCCCAGTTTTTAATTAAAGTTTCGTTTCTGCGATCAAGCCCAGAAATGGAATGAATTAAGTAATCGTCGATTCGGGCCACTTAAGAATTTTTGGGTCGAGAACTGGTTCAAACCATCTTCGAGGCCTAGCATAAATTGGAGACGCTATTTTTAAAGAATAATACCAGTAAGGCGATCTATTACACATACTTTCATAATTTTCTTGAGCAAGTGTGTACGTATCATACTGGTCACCAAGTGGCCAAGCATGGCTTTCAACGTGCGTGGCTACTCCGTTTGAACTTCTGAAAGTCTTTCACCCCCAGCTTGGCGGAACGGCACACTGCACGAGCTCCGCGACTACGATGTGACTTCAGGCGCAACTTTATTACAGAGCTAGCAGGCTACGATTTCAACTTATAATTCTCAATCAGTTGTCTGTCTATCTATCTGTCAATCCGAGCGCTGATATGATTGAGGAAGATCCAAGGTTTCATGTGATGTCATCCGCTAGGCGGGGAAGCTACGAATGTAGCGCGAATGTCGTTCGATGTCATCCAAAAACCTTTCCAAATCGACCGTTCTTCGAACTGCGAATATTTGTTTTCTGCAACGCGCCCAAGCACGCGCTGACTTGTCAAGAAATCTCAACCGTACGCAAAGTATTCGTCTGCGCCACTGATCACGTCAACGCCCCACTAGCTCCTTACATCTGATAAAACAATGTCACCGACTGGATCACTCGAGCGGCAGCAAACGCTAAAACAAGTGACACAACGTGTGGATCTAGTCGCTGAAAAATACTGTGCCTGTCACCTTCATTGGCTCGGACGTAGGCCACACTGAGGACGCAAGCTTTGAAGGCAGATCGACCGGGGCCGGGGGAAGGACCTGGCCGTGGAATTGCCGAAAGCGCTTTTTCCACGGCTTGAGGGCACTTGGTGGCACGGTAAGCTCCAGCGTCCTCAACGTTGTATTGTTCTTGAGCGCTACCCAAAGCGCTTCGAGCGTCGAGCTACTCACAGCGTTTGTATTCCTTTGTGGTCGCGATGGTTAGGTGCAGCAAAGACTCGGCCAAATAACTTGATGGATCCCCGAGAAGTTCTGCAAACGCCACTCCGTGGTCCACTCCGAATTCGCTGATATTTATCAACTCCAGTGATGTAATAGCAGGTGTATTATGTCCACTCACGGCTTGAAAGTGCTCGTATGTCGTGATGAGGCGCTTCAAATCAACGCTGAAACATAAGCAAATGTACAGACTCGTCAACTTTGGACACGACTTCAGTATGGCTGTCATCGTCATCCATTCGTCCATCATGAAGAAGTTGAGACTGCGTAAGGACCATCCGATCTGACTTAGTAGTTTTGCGCAAACTGACAGCGAGTTGATCGATTTGCGTCCTACTTCGCCGCTCCCCGCTCCAGAAACTACCACATCTTCTTGTAACACCACAGCCTCTCGTGGAACTTGACATTTACCATATCCGGGAAGTGTCACGTTAACCAAGCCACCTTGGCCATCCGGGTTGGTTGCCATCAGCGCTCTGTTTATACCAGCCGGAATCGGAATAAAATTCGCAGTAATTATCTTGTTCGAGCTTTCCATTTCACCACCAAAACACAAGAGGGTGCGTTCACGCAACAGTCACCCCACCGGCGAGGTTTTGTCTGAGCCACACCAACGCGTTTTCTCGCTGACGGCAGTCGCAATTTCCTCCAGATCAGCCGTCTTCAAAACCGAGCAGTACAGATCCAAGCCGTGAATGGACGGGTGCGAGGTGCAACTGGCTGTACGCGGGAACAAGAGTGTCTCAGCTAACAGCCTCATCTGGTCGCAGCACGGTTTTTCTTGATACCACATAGGACCTGACCGACATAGCTCTAGGTTTCCAATCGGTGTTCGAGCCACGGGAAACGTGGAGCACAGCGCTTCAAAATGCCAGTCCTGGTCACATATGAACTGAAACGTGTCGATCGACAGAATCTTCAGCGAGGGGTCTTGCGGCCCTGAGAAAATGCCAGAGAAGAAGTTTGCGAGGGCTTTTGAGGAAATCGGCATTTCATAGGCGGCGTACACGTCCAATCTGCCAATCGGGCCTCCACTTTCAAGCACTTGAAGCAGGCTCTCCACACAAACCTCCGTGAGGTTTAACCTCGAAATATTCAGTGAAATTGACTCCAACCGGTACGTGAACATGCTCACGCAGCTTCAGAAGTGGGGGCAACTTGCTGCGTACAGTGGCTGTTCATCCGGTCGATCAGCTCTCGCAGCTCCTGCATATAGGCGACGAGCTCGTTGTCGCCCACTTTATCTAGGTCGACATCAATGGCAACCGGGATCTCCACACATCGCAGAACACTTCGTGAATTTCTTGTCATGCATCATCAAAATTCGTCGTCTCGCGTCTAGAAATTCCGGACTGGGCTGGTAGTTCGAAGTGTGCGAAAGGAAAAAAGCTTTCCAGTCTCCAATTGGTGTCAGCGTGCGGAGATATCCGTAGCCCACGTCCATTCCAAATTTCACATTCGAAGTGAAATTCTCCCTCACTGGGAAGGGTAGGGATCTCCGCCCAATCATCGTCGTAGGCGTATCTGGCATCGATGATGCCAACGACGACGACGAATTCGTCATCGTTGGCAGCGTAGAGGGCCTCTTCGTTGCTGAACCTCAGGGACAACTTGTCCAGCAGAATCTTCGGCCACGCACGCTTGCTAACTGCGTGTACTAGCACCAGCAGCTCCAGAGCCTCTCGCGTGTGCCAGTCGCTGCTCTCGTATCGTTTTGGCTCGTCGGGAACGCGCCCCGCTGCTCCGTACAGGTAGCATCGGTATCGATGATTATTCGGGGGTAGTCTGAATTGACCATGAGGCGCTCCTTGAGCTGCGCGAACCAGGGCGACAAGAAGCCCCATTCATCCAAGTCAGGGGGCAACAGTCGAAGTCGTTTAAATCGTCGGTCGTCGTCCATGTCGCTTCGACCAGGAAAATTGAGGAATGGCGAGGAAATTCAGTGGGCGGATGTAATGAATCACGGGCGTTCTATTTTTTATATTTTTCTTAAGAAAAAAATATTTTGTACTTGAAGTATTTGTTCAACATGCCCGAGCTAACGATATGAGTCATTCCAGAGTTTTCACCAGCGTTAAAAAAAGTTAAATGACGTAGAAAATCGCTAGGGATATGCGAGTAAATCAATCACGTTGCCTTGGAAGCCTCGCAAGTAACCAATTGATCTGCGACGTCGCTGATCTGCTTGCTGAGCTGAAATTTCTTAGATGCTGTTGAATGCCTGGACCGATCGAGTCACGCGAGTGGCTGCGATCTCGAAAATACGACTCAGCACCTGCTGGTCGAGACGCTGAATCGCACTGTCTTCGTTGTTTTTACTCTACTTAGCAGTGCAATCTTGCGCTCAAGCGGTATCGGGTGAGGAGGTAGCACCTGCCCCGTGAACTGGTGGAATCGCTCTCTCCACTGGTCGGTAAAGTTCCGCTCCGACACCACCAGCTTCAACTTCTCGAGCGTTGTGTTCCGGTTGAGCGATCTCCACAGCGTACCCAGCATCTGAGTAGTGTATGGTCTTGTCCAGCTATTGCTCGAAATCGTTAGCTACTTCAAGTGTCGTCCCAGGCGTGTTGTCGGATCACCGAGCTGTTCTGCCAGCAAGCTGCCGTCACCCTCTCCAAAATTGCGGAAGCGGCGAAACTTGAGACTAGTGAGTATTGGCAGCTGTGCATCACCGAGGCTGTCGTACATAGTTGCAAACCAATCCAGATTGATGTCACGGTCGCTCCGAAGAGTGAGGCTTGTCAAGTTGGGGCATGCCATCAAGATGGTCGGTAGCACGGCATGCGCATCGCTCTCGCTTCCGTAAAACTGCCACGAAAATATCAACGAAAGCTCCTGAAGAGACCAGCCAATCCTGTGAAACAACTGCCCAACACCATCCGAGCGCGCTTGAAGGCAAAGAGTAAGGGAAGTCAAAGGAGCTTCCGGTTGATATGCCGCTTTCTCCTTGGCTCCAACAGCAGCCAGTTGGGGTACTTGACAGATTCCAAACTCTGGGATCACCACATTCGTGTTGGTGGGGAAGCAGGTTACGTCGCTTGCAGCCAACTTGTGAGGCCGGACGCAGCACATCCCGCACTTGCAGGACCGAACGTGCAAAAACGCCTCAGCAAGCGATTTCCAGTACCTCAAACGATCTCCTTCGTCTTCGACGAAATTCCCCCCAGACAGGTAGACCGTTCCAATCTGTAGTGGTGACGCTGCGAGGGCCGAAAACAGCGCTTGAAGTTGCCACGCCTCTGCTGAGAAAGGTTGAATGCTGAGTTTGTCGATTATACCTTGACCGTGGTTATTCGCCGGGCGTAGTAATGCTTCAGCTAGCAGCTTTGCGAAAATCTCGCGAGTTTCCTTTTCACTTTCGTTGCCACTTGTCTCGTGGCGCCAGGCATAATTCAATCGAAATCCAAGGGAAGCGAGATGGAGTACTTGTTCTCGTACCAGCTGCAGCAAAGACACCAACTCACTCAATCTCGGCCTTCCAAGAAACATCGAGATCCTTGCCGCACGCCCTTCACCACCTGAGGCAACCCGAATATCCATCACTTCAATCACGCGTGATGCTTTGAAAACAGAGATCGGAACGTCATCCAAATGCACTGACAGCGACTCCACGCGGAACACAAAGGTGCTCGCGCATTCTTCAACACTTCGGGCCTTCTCTGAACTTGAGTCAACCTGTTGGATGCCGCGATTCATACTCTCCAAGAGATCACGCACTTCAACAAGCTCCTTGCTGAAGTTATCGTTGGATCTGTATGCGTCAAACTTGAACCGAAGTGACAGCGGGATTTCCACTGCTCTCTCCACCCACGGCTGCCTCTTATAGTCGTCCGACTGCATATCAAAGATTCGCGCTTTGGCCTTCACATACTCCTCACTGGGAACGTAGTGCGGCGAATTCGTCAGGAGTAGCCACTTCCAGTCTAGCAAAGCTCGGTAGTAAAACTCAAACAGGAAACGCGGTGACTTGAACGCTGGCGGCTCCTTCTGGCCACGGAATAGATACGTTTCGTCGTCGTCTTCTTCGTTGTCGGCCAGAATGTCCTCGATGTTTTCGTCGTAAGGGAAAGTTTCGCGGTCTCCTTCCGTCGTGCCTTCGTCGTCGCTGCCGTCATCGTCGTCGCTGTCGCCAGCGGAATAGAGGAAATTCTCCTCGCCCAACTTGCAATTTTCAAGTAAAAGTTTCTGCCACGCCTTCTTGTCCACGTGCGCCACGAGCGTCAGCAGCTCCAGCGCCTCCCGCGCCCGTCGAAGCTCCTCGTCGGACCCACGTCCCCCCACACCCCGGCAGTAAATGTAATCGCCAGACCGACAGGCGGCCGCGTAGAGCTTCGCACCAAGGCGAGAGGAAGTCGTAGGTGGGCTTGGGGGCGGTAGTGCGGCGGCACGACAGCCGAGCGAACTTCCGCTGCGGCCCAGCAGCGTCCATCTTTGCTGCTTGAAGCGAATCTCAGTGAAGTGAAAGTTCTATTTTGTGTGGAGCACTAGAAAAAATGAGTCAAATGAGTCATTACAATAAGAAATATGCTTACCGTACAAAAAATATAGCCCAGCTTGTGTTATTATTCTTTCTTACGTTACGTAAGGTTTTGGTGTATATATTCGGCTACCTTAGTTTAAGGAATATACAATTAATTTTTTTTTCGAGCAAACTTACTGCGACTGATAGTACAGAGCACGTCGTCTTTCGTCGTAGGTGGCGTAGTGTTCTGGGGCACTCCGAGTTGCTTGCATATCGAATGACGACGGTCGCGTGAGGCTGCTGGGCTGCTGGAAACCCTGAACTCCCATCAAACCGACAGTGGTAGAGGTTGGCTGCTGCTGCTCCATATCGGAAAGCGCCTCAGGACAGGACGAAAAGTCGAAGGCGTTGAAGCCGATGTACATCTCGGTGCCGGCCGCCTTGGGCCAGTTGCCGTCTTCGTAGCCGTAACGAGAGTGTGTTGTTTGCTCCTGCTTGCGCCGCCAATTGGCGGGAATCTTGCGGGTGCGTCCATTCTCGACCTCCAGACTTCCAGCGTTGCTCTGCTTCTGCTGTTGCTGTCCACGACAGAGTTGACGTTGGCGCAGGCGGAACTGCTCAATCGCAGCGGATGCGCTGCTGAACTGAGCGTTGCTTGGCAAGATCGAGGGCTGGTACATGCTGGTTAAAGTGTCCGAGTGGCTTCCAATTGGGGAATGGGAGACTGATTAGAGTCTGCAACTCATTACATGTAGGTCGCCGAATCTTATCCCAAGATAACTTCCTGCCTCCATGTGGTCCGGTCGTCGCGCTGATTGGCGAGGTGGTCCGACACGTACAGCTCCTTCCGCTAATCAGAGCCCCCAGCGGCTCAACGTCAACTTGAACTGCTTCGTCGCGTGTTCCGAGATAAAGGTACAATGTGACGAGTGAAACACGCTGTGCCTGTTGAAAACAAACCGATGCTTGCAGCTCGTTCGTGACAGAGGTCGCTGGTTGTCCTGCGTGAACAATTAGGACCAGCGTATTGGCAGCATCAAAACTTCGGGTTGTTTTCTGGGAACTGTGACGATGAACTCCGTACATGTACCTACCGGTGGGTGGCATCTTTTGTATAGTTCTTCAGGAGCGTCAATAGTTATTAACAGAACGATAATAAATAAGCAGATCCACTCCCAATACTATAATATAGTAATAGAGACCGCGTCAAACAAAATGATGCTTACGAACCATTTGGAGTTTTCGAGATAATCGCGTTTGAAGTTGATCAATCAAATTTTGTACCTAACCGGACATCAGAAATTGTAAAGTGAAACTCACGCGTAGAAAGCGGAAACCACTCCAATTCACTTGCTTTTAGCACGAGCTTTCCGATAATGTACAGCACAAAAAGATCGTAGAAAAATTGAGGTCACACGCCCCATATAAAATCCGGGATTTCGGGGTCCGAAAAAGGAGATATATTTTTTAGACCAGTGTCACTCCTCGATTTCTCAACATTTTCAAGTGCTCAATAGCTTAAAAGACGTTTTATGCGGTTAAATCGTGATTCGTACTTAGATTCGTAAGCATCATTTCGTTTGACGCGGTCTCTGTATTATACATATTATGTATACATGAAGCAAAATTTAACTTCGTTTATTTTCGGCCAGAGGAAGTATGTTAGATAAATATTTTATACTGGGATCGGAAGCAACGTTAGTGCTGCTATCGCAGACCAAACAGGATTATATCCGTGGTACGTCAAGTCAAAAGGTGACCCCTCTTGACACCTAGCTGGTACATTGTCCTGAAACCGGTGTGGCCCCGGTGCCGCACTGGGCCCTCCAAAAGCGTGGTCAGTAACATATATCGAATAGTAGGAGTGAAGTAAAGTGAATGATTGAAGCGGACGAACTGCTGCAGAAGCATACAAAGGTAAACATTTTCATTTTCTACAAGCTACTAACAGATCTCGAGCAAGGTTCGTTTTATCACTGTGTATAAGCACTACCTACAGTTTTGAGGTGAATTACCGGGCAGACGCTGCGGCTGCGAAGCCGGCGCAGGAGATGCCCGTGGTTCGTAAAAAAAAAAACTCATAATAATAGAAAGCGATTATACCAAAAACCTCCTATCCCAGCCTTCGCGGAGCCCTAGTCTCTTACGGTACCATAAAGTTTTTTTATGCTAAGCTTACGGTAAACAACAAAGGATGTTAGAGCAAAAATACGGGGATATTTTGAGTTTAGGAAAACCGTTGATCCTAGTAACTACTGTACAGTAAGTGTAAGGTTTTGGTGTGCTTGTTGTGTTGCGAGTAAAATGGAAACTGAATTGATGTCTTTGTCTGTTTGCTGCTATCCATCTACCCGAGGGCGCCCTCATGGCGCTCGGTCCTAAACATGAAGTGGTTGGCTGAGGCGTGCCGGAGCAGGAGCTTTCGCAACCGGTGAGTATGCAGACGACGACTTGGGCTCTCTGCGTGCGGACTCAACTGATGATGTGGTGGTGATCATTACACTCCCCCGACTTGAGCGAGTCCCGGCACCTTGAACGTTGAAGTCGCCGAAGCTGAAGTTGGTAGTACCGTAGACCCTCGATGTAAGGTATAGTATCGTGAAAACTCTGTTCAAGAGAATTCCACTAGGCCCGTGCCACTCGATTGCGTTGGCGAAGATCTTTTAGCAGCGCTTGCCAGTGGCTGACGTGTTTGATGTCGCGCTCGCGTTCCCACGTGTTCTCGTGCCACTTGACCAAGTACTCAGGTTGGCGGTTGAAGATGCGCTTCTTGATCAGAGCTTCGACAACGTGTAGTGGCTCGCCATCGTCGTCGAAAATCACGGGAGTCGACTTCGGGATCACACGGCCGACGAAGCGATCAGGGTTGCTGTTGTATACCTTGACCTTGTCGATGTTGAAGCGTGGGCTGATGTGCTTCAAGTTGGCCGGTAGATCCAGCAGCGCGACGTTGCCGTGAAGTTCCAGGATCTGGTACGGACCGATGAAGCGCGGGATGAACTTCCGTGAGCGAAGCGTCGTTTCCGCGGTGGCGTGCGAGATGTTCAGGTCCTGCGTCGACAGCAAGGCTAGATCACCGACCTTGAATGGGTTTGCTGCACGACGCCGGTCGTAGAACTTCTTTTGAGCCTCTTGCGCATCCAACAGATTCTTCCAAGCACGTTCGATCACCTCTTGACGATGCTGAACAAATCGAGACGCGTAATCCACACGAGACCTCGCCACCGGCTGATCGCTCTCCACACTACCCAATGGGTTCTTAGGGTGACGACCGGTGTCGACGAAGAAGGGCGACAGCTTCGACGAGCTGGACACCAGTCATACTCAATCATGGGCAGGTGCTCATTCCAGTCGTTGCCATGGTACGAAACAGAGCATCGCAACGAGTCCTCGAGAGTCCGATTCTGACGCTCAGTTTGGCCATCGGCCTGCGCTCGGTGGGCAGTCGTCATCGCTGTCTTGATCTTCATCAGCTGTACCAGTGCTTTCCAGAACTTCGACGTGAACTTCGGGTCCCGGTCGGAGATGATGGTCGATGGGATACCATAGTACCGGATGACGTTGTTGAAGAACAGCTTGGCAATGTCTTCCGCAGTCGCCGTGGTGTGCGTCGGGATGTAGACTGGACGCTTTGACAACTTGTCCACCACGACCATGATCGCATCAAAGCCGTCGGACACAGGCAAATGCGTGATGAAGTCAGTCGAGACAACATCCCAACACGCAGCGGGCAACGGGATCGGCTGAAGCTTTTCTGCTGTTCGTCCGGTGCTTGACTTATACCTCATGCATGACTCGCAACTCTGAACGTAGGCTTTGATGTCCAGATCCATGCTCGGCCAGAAGTACCACTGTGCCGCAGCAAGCTGAGTGCGACGGATGCCTGGGTGCACCATGATCGCCACATCATGCGCATTGTGAATGACATCGAGCCGAAGTTTCCGGTTGTTTGGCACACAGAGGCGGCGTAGGCTGTTGTTGCTCTTCAAATAGATCAACCCACGAATGATTTCGTACTCTTCCGACGGGCGACCGGACTTCCACAGCGGCTTGAAGACTGAATCTTTGCTGTATGCCTTCTGAAACGCCCGCTTCGTTTGGTTATCCAGTTGGAGTGAGCTTATCACCGTGCTGTCCTCCATCGATGCTGCGTTCAATCTCATACGCCACTGTGCCGTGCCTACACCATGTGCCCTTGCGGCTGGCTGTTCGACGGCAAGCATCACGGCTTGATCGCGAGTCGGTATGCTTTGGAGCTTCTCCGTAGCCTTGGTACGACGCGATGCCGCGGCGCGAATGTTCGTGCATGTCGGCGATGTCAAACACGCCGTACACACTGCCAGCGGCTCGGGTTCGGTTTCACCAGCCTCCGGTTCCTCCCTCGGACTTGAAGAAGCATCAGGGGGGCGCAATAACGCGTCGGTAACGACATTCAAAGCGCCTGGACGATGATGCAGCGTGAACTGGAAGGACGCAAAAAAGTCCAGCCAGCGAGCCAGGCGACCAGACAGGCGGGGATGCTGTATAAACCACTTGCACGCCGAGTTGTCCGTGTACACTTCAAACGAGACTCCATGGAGGTAATCGCGCCAACGGGTGAGCGCTTGTTTGATCGCAAAGAGTTCCTTCTCGTGAACAGGCCAGTTCAGCTCATGCGGACCAAGCTTCTTGCTGAAAAATGCCACGGGGAGATCATTGCCGCCATGCAGCTGAAAGAGGACTCCACCAATGCACGCGTGACTAGCATCCGTTGTCACAATGAACGGCTTGTCGAAGTCTGGCAGACGTAGTACCGGTGCGTGCTGGAGCGCAAGCTTGATGGCATTGAAAGCCTGGCGCTGACCGTCATCCCATACCCGCGCCACATCTTTCTTGACCAAAGAGCTCAGCGGAAGTACCAGTGTCGCAAACTGATGGATGAAGCGACGATAATATCCGGCGAGGCCCAAGAAGCGCTGTAGATCTTTGATGTTGCTAGGCTCTGTCCACTCGACGATGGCTCGAGTTTTGCGAGCGTCCACGTGCAAGCCATCAGCTGAGATGGTGTGGCCAAGGAAGTCGACCGAAGCTTGACCGAAGTCGCACTTGTCCGGACGAGGGTAAAGCTTGTGAGCCCGATGGATTTCACAGACTTGCCGTAAGTGCTCGACGTGATCGGCCATCGACCGCGAGAAGATGTAGATGTCGTCCAGATAAACGACCACGAACAGTAGATGGCTCAGCAGCTTGCGCATCAGGCACGTCCACGTGCCCGGCATGCTGGCCAGGCCCATAGGCGCCACGTTCCAATGATATATCTCATGGTTTGTCCTGAATGCCGTGTACTGCTTGGACGTCGGAGACATACGCATCTGGTGGTATCCACTGGCGAGGTCGAGAATCGAGAAGATCACTGCTCCCACCATCCGATCAAAGAGCTGCTCGATGTGCGGCAGCGGTATCTTGGCAAGCTCTGAGGCCGCATTCACCAAGCGATAGTCAATGACCCATCGAATGGGCATGTGCGGATTGTTCGAATGTAGCCACTCCAAGCGTGATGGGAATTTGCCAGTCGCGGGATCCTTTTTGGGCACGCCAAAGATGTTTGATACCCATGGAGAGTCCGACACTTCGATCCAGTTCTTCTTCAGCAGCTCTGCCACAAAGATGTCCAATGCCTCCTGCTCAACCTTCGAGAGACGGAAGGGGGCGCGATTGCTGGGCGTCGCACCTGGTTTCAAGACCACTTCGTGCTCGATTGAGCGGCTCGGTGGTAATCCAGGCGGCAACTCTGACGGAAAGACATCTGCGAACTCGTCAAGTACTGCTTGAAGCTGCGACGGCACCGACATCACCTTGGGCGACGTCTTCACCGTGACGTTATACAGTTCGGCGTACTCGTCGGCCTTCACCTTTGTCTCAAAATCTGCCGCCGAGAGGACACACAACGACGATGCCTCCGTGTCGTCATCGCCTTCGTTGTCAAAGATGCGTGGCAATGGCTGACATTCTAGCGCTGTTATCGAGCTTGGCCCCAAAGGCATACTGAAGTAGCCTGCCTTTACACGAGTGTCAAGCTGCTGCCGCAGATTCGGGGGCAGGGGGTGCTGAAGGAACTCAGGTTTCACTTCCACTGAAGCCACTGACGGTCCCGCTACCTCGAGACTGTCGTTCACCGAACTGAAATCATGCACTAAGCGCTTGTTGGGGAACCGCATCACTCCGGTTTGCCAGTCGATAACCGGGTTGAACTGCACCAGCCATGGAAGCCCGAGGATCACGTCTTGATTTGTCGACACTTCCCACTCAATGAGGGAAACTCCGTTGAAGTCTCTGCCAGCAAAGCTGATAGTCTCCAAACATTGTTGCGCCGTACGGGCCGGCGTTGTCGTACCGTCAAAGCGCTCCGCCGTGACCTTGGTGGACTCAACGCAGTTTTGGGCGAGGCCAGGGCGCACAATGTTGCGCTCTGCACCGCTGTTGATCAAGAGTCGCACTGCCCGCCCGTTCATCGCCCCCTCGAATCGCAACAGTTCACGATTGGGTGACGGCTCGGTGGCGATGGACACCATGTTCAACTGCAAGCTGTCAATGACCTCGACGTGGTCGTCACGGCTGTCTACGTAGTCGTCTTCGTCTTCGTCGGATACGTCGTCTTCGACAATGCGGCGGAACGAGCCCTGGTTAGCGCGGAATGACCCGTGCCCTTGTGGAGGACGAGATACACCCCGGGGGTTGTTGCGCGCTGGCCTCTTTGGACACGTGGCCAGGCGATGCCCGGGTTCCTTGCAGTAGAAGCACAGATTACTGCGCAGACACTCGTCGCGAGAAACGAAGCGCGAGCTTCCAATCTCCATCGGTGTCGGCTCCTCGATGCGATGAAACGACTGTTGAAGGCGTTGGCCACCTTGACCTCCGCGGATCGCATGGGTTCGACGCGATCCTACAGCGTGCGTTCGGTCGTACATCAGTGCAAATGAAATCACGTCCGACGTGTTTCGGAACTGGCGCAGCTTGACCTCTTGCCTGATCTCTACGACCAACCCCTTCTGAAAATGCATGACCTTGTCGATATCGCTCATGTCCTCTACCTTGCAGATGATGTGCCGGAAGGCCGACACGTAATCTTCGAGGCAAGCGAAGTTGTTCTGGCGTAGGCGTAGGAGCTGGTCGCGCAGGTGCTCTTGGCGATCGGGGGTCGTAAACTCGCTGGTCAGCAGCTCCTCGAACTGCGAGACCGAGTGCAGGAAGTTCCCGTCGTGGGAGACGTACTCGCGGTACCACGCTGCTGCTGGCCCCTTCAAGTTCGCCACCAAGAGTGACAGGGGGCGCTACTGCGGTGAGTCGGCGCCGTACCTGGTGTTCTTCGACTCAAAGTAGAGTTTGGCACTGAAGAGGTAGTCCACGACGTCGTCGTCCTTGGTGCCGGAGAACTTCGGCATGGAGATGCCCTCGGCACGGTACTCGCGCGTGTCTTGAGAAGTAGAGTCGGGCGACGGTGGTTGCTGCTGTTGCTGTTGCAGTGTCGCCGCCATCTGGTGCTGCAGCTCCGCTGTCTGCGCCATGAACTGCTGTTGCTCGCGCATCATTGCCGCGCGCGAGGCGAACATCTGCTGTACGCTGTCCGCGTGCTGCATCGCTGCTTCATCCATGTTTGCGCCTACGCTAGCCGCGTCGTCAATAGATGGCTGGGGCGCGCAAGCTCCTCAGCCAAATCAATGAAAGTTTGAAGTCGCAGGCACTCCCTGGAGCGCTGCTTCCGACAATATCTGTAAGCCCCAACGAAGTCACAGAAGCTCGACCTGGAGCTCTGTTTCTGACAAGTACCAACCACTTGCTCCAGTGTCCCGAAGGAAGCAACTGGTGCAATTCCGTCCGGCGCTAGCTCGAGCCCACCTCGGAGCACAAAGACTCCTACTACTAAACTCGTAACGGCCACCGACGCAGATGTTACACTCGGCTGCGTACTGTTTGCAAGTGACAGCCGAGGCGACAAGCGGAAGGTCGAGGTGGGTGTCGCGTATGGACACGCGGGAGTGATTGGGCTAAATGCACCAATGAGATGTCGACACGAAGTGACGTGTGACAATGCGCGTCGCCACTCCTCCCCCAGAAAGAAAAGGAGCGAGCCCGGCGAAAATGGAGGTCCCGTCGGCGACGAGCGGAACGAAGCTGCGGACGAGGCAACGCACGCGGCGCACCCGGAGAAGCTGAACGGCGAGAGGTACAGGTGCGGCGCACCGAAGAACGTAGGCGAGGAAGACGGCGTGCGTAACGGCAACGCGGGATGGACTAGGCTGGACGGCGTGAACACTAGCGACGCGTGGCAGGACTGGACTGGATCTGGAACTGGAACTCGAACGGAGACTGGAACTGGAACTGGATGGAAGCGCGCGCTGGAGGCGCAAGTGCTACCAAGTGTAAGGTTCTGGTTGTGCTTGTTGTGTTGCGAGTAAAATGGAAACTGAATTGATGTCTTTGTCTGTTTGCTGCTATCCATCTACCCGAGGGCGCCCTCATGGCGCTCGGTCCTAAACATGAAGTGGTTGGCTGAGGCGTGCCGGAGCAGGAGCTTGCGCAACCGGTGAGTATGCAGACGACGACTTGGGCTCTCTGCGTGCGGACTCAACTGATGATGTGGTTGTGTTCTGCGCTTGCACGTGCAGATCATTACAGTAAGAGCAATTGCTACCGCGCTTAATACTGCCTCGCCGTTGCGCTTCAAATGTAGTATGGCTAACAGGAGTCGCCCACATGAACGAATCCATACTAGGTAGCTGGTATTGAGGCTCCGGAACTTCCCACTTTCATATGCCAGTACAGTTGAAATCTGTGAGCGCCATCACTGGCCTAGTCTTGTTTTGACATCTCTCTTCACCCTCCATCCTCCGGTAGTGCCCCAGCAGCGACATATCTGCCTCTTTCCCATTGTCAAACTCGTCCACACCACTGTGTTGATGGCACTGTTGATCCGAATCGCCCCCCCATGAAGAAGGCTTCGGGGCACGTTGAGAAGTCGAAGGCGTTGTAGCCCATGTGCATCTCCGTGCCGGCGGGCAGGGGCCAGTTGCCGTCGTCGTGCGATTTATTGTGCTCCTGCTTGCGGCTCCAATTCGCTGAGATTTTGCGCCTTCGGCCTTCGTGCTCGTCCAAACTGGCTGCTCTGGAGCTTCGGACCGAGTGATCTTGTCGCTGGTTGATGGGATGCATACGCCGTTGACGAGCGCGGAGCCGCTCCACATACGAGATGTCTTTGGCGACATTGGAGTCGTGACGGGGTAGCTCGGGTGAGAGGAGACGGATAATGGCGACCATGAACTCGAAGCTGGTGATTGGCGACGTTTATGCAGAGCGCGTTCGATTCGGAAATGAAGTGAGGGACTGTCCTCCATAGACCATTGACCATCTCTGAGCTGGTTCCCACCCATAGTCATACTTTCGACGCGCGTTGACGGGAATCGGAACTCCGGCCACTACTTGCATTAAGTGTGAGGCACGCGCTAGTCGCCAGCGATGCCGGTGGTAAGCTTCCAACGTGGACGTCCGAGTGGTGCGTATTGGCCGCAGGAAAGCTGCAGCACTGACCCCATTACGTGAGTATCAAAGGTGTTCAGTAGTGAAGAGCACCGGCGTTGTTCGCATCAGCTACTGTACTTGTAACTGGTGTTGTGCCTTGGCTGCGAGTGGAACTGCGATATGCGTGACCAGCTTCCCGGCCGCGGTTGACTTCGTGACGAACGAGTGGCGAGGAATCAGTGGACTCTGAACCAAAGCGACAGAGCAGGATGAGTGCGCTGGTCACGGTTGCGTCACTTTTAACTTGTTATAACCTCAAAAAAATCACCGGTAAAATCTATCGCGATGAATCTGTCCCATTCCTCATCCGAACTCTATTTTGTGGGCAGTCACGGGACAGATTTTTTCCGGTAAGCTTAATTGCTCGATCCTGGATAAATGGTGATGCGAAATTTAAGCGAAAGCAGCGGTGAATTATGTAGAGTGGGTCGCTTCAGCTACAGCTACAGCTCGCAGGGCTTATTCGGTAAGGTTTTAAACAGGTCTTATGCAGGTCTGGTCCTGTTTTGGTCCTACGACATCTAAACGAGACCGAATGGGAAATAAGTATGATTTCACCGGTGGTCTCGTTTGGATGCCGAGACCCAAATGGTATCACTACGAAACACGCTAATTTTAGGCCCTCTTTACTTTGATATATAACATCGTGATATTTAGTAGTAGTAGTAGATGATATAGCTTAGTATTTTGGGGCTAGTTGACTTAGAGTACTGCTGGGGATTATAATTTGGCTCACAACATGTCTGAAATTTGGTACATGTCCGTGTGGTAGACGATTATTGCATAACAACAATGGAAACGGTGTACTAAAGGTAGAATTGGTCAATATAGGATAATTTCTAGATCAATGTATCTTCCTCGTACGTTTAGTATCGAGGACCTTTAAGTTTACGAAGCTATTACTATCGTTTGAACAGGCAGTTGAAAAAGGTTATGTAAAGGCAACGACGACAAATGGATGGGCTAGCCACCCCTTTAGCGGCGCCCGGTAAAGCGGTAGTCGCCATTTGATCAGAGCTGGCCCCTTCATCCAATGTTTGTTATATTCAAATCACCGTTACTTTGCTGAGAGTACTAAGTGTACCGGACTGAAGACTGGATCTCAAAATCTCGATCTAAATCGTAGTTTGGGTCATTCCAAGTTTAGACTTACAGATGTGGTCTATGTAACAGGGTGCTACCCTTAGAACATCCCAAGATTTTTAATATTATTGCATGATGGAACTATTCCATCAAAACTCGCCTTGTTGTCTATTTCAAATCTTTAGACTATTTATTCCCAACATCATGAGATTGTCCAGGGTTGGGAAGTTGTATATCGACACTGAAAAGACAAAAACGGAAAACTTTTAGACTGGTAACAAAAACTTTTGCTGCTGTTGGGCTTTGCTCTAACGGTTTGAATTTGTGTTCATTCGGATTTTTTCTGACAACCCACCAGCTCTTCGCCTTCGCCGCCTCCACCCTGCAACCCCTGCTCTGCGTCAAATCGTGATGCCAACCACCACCGCATCAACTCCGACCTCTTCAAGCCACCGCAGCGACGGTGAATTCGACCAGCAGTGGGAATTTGGCTTCAATTCGGATCGTGGAGGAGCGTCGGCGAGCGACAGTGATGCTGACAGCGATGCTGGCTATCTCTCTCCTGTTATGGGGATCGAGAACCCTGATTCAGCAGTGATGACGACAGCGATGATGAAGACTCGCCGACTGGGACTCCCCCGCGAGATATTGAAGTTGACGATGACTCGGTCTCCAGCGGTGGCTCAAGCGTGTCCACTCAAGGGGATGTGACCAGGCTGCCCGGCGGACTTGTTCTCGGTTCTTCCCGCTATGACATGGACGACAGCGAAGCCAGCAGCAGTTTGGACGACTCTGACGCATACGACCCTGAAATGGAGACTGTTAGCAGTGAGGACGAAGGCGACGAGCTCGCAGTTCAACCTTCTGCGTCAGGGCGTCAAGGGCATGCGGGAATCGACCTCGTCGCGACAGCGCATCGCACCGTCATCCAACTCAACGGCCGTCAGTACACGAAAGCCCGAGAGTCCTCGCGCAAGATTTCCTTGCGGTGCAGCTCTTACCGACGTACTCCGGGGTGCAAAGGGAAAGTCGACTACAGTTTTGCGCGAGATGTGTTCTACAATTTTACGCCACACACTTGTGAAGGGACGGGCCAAGCTCCAAGCCGATACGTTGACGTCACCGAGGAAATGAAGGCCGAGGTTGATCGATTGTCGATTGTCGATTCTGCACCTTTCACACACGGCGCAACAGATTTGTTTGGCGGTCCGCGAGCAGTTTTTCGTCAGAGACGACAGCGCGGTTGTTCAAGGACTGACACGACATCAAGTCCGGCAACGTGTGTACCGCACGAGACGTGTTCATTTCGGTGGAAACGTGCATGGAATAGTCGAGGTTGCGCCGCAGAGCCTGGTTCAACGGACTACATTGATTTTTTCCAGTTCCACCACGTCTTTATGGAGGGCGAGCGGCTACAGCGTGTGCTGGGTTGGGCGGACCCTCGACTGCTGGAGTTACTTCGGTATCCGGGCTCGCAGATGTTCGTCGACGGAACTTTCCGGTGCGTCCCGAGGTCGTTCTACCAGTGTGTCGTGTTGATGGTGAGCGACGCAGCAAGTGGCGTGTTCGTGCCTTGCGTTTACGCTCTTACGACTGGCAAAACCCATCAACTATACCAAAAGTTGATGCGGTTCATGGATGACGGCACGGGTAGTCGCCTTCAACCTGGGAGTGTCGTCTGCGACTTCGAGGCAGCGCTGATCGATTCAGTGACGGACCTGTTTCCGCGCGCCAGGGTCATCGGATGCTTGTTTCACTTCAAGCAAGCGACCCGACGACGCATGATGAAGTTGTGTATCCGACCACACTCGAGCATCTCCGCTTTCGTATCGACAATCGACACATTATCGCGGCGGTACGTGCAACTGCTTGGCGATATCTCTAATCGCAGAGCTGTTGCCCCAGCTCACGGGGAGATCGAGTTGCCAGTTGTGGTCGACTTGACATCGCGTGTTAACGCTGCGCGTCGTGAAGCCAGTAGGTCGTCGAACTCACGAACCAGTCGCGCTGGTCGTGCTGCTTCAACTCGCGGTGGCCGTATAGCTTCAACTCGCGGTGGTCGTACAGCTTCAACTCGCGGTGGTCGTACAGCTTCAACTCGCGGTGGTCGTAAAGCTTCAACTCGCGGTGGCAGGGGTGATCATGGAGGTCTAGCATCGATGCGTTCCCAGGAAGCCCAAGTGGATAGACCAAGTCGGACGGCCCGGGCAGCTAGAGTCAGGCGATGTACAAGCCGGGTTACCCGCAGCATGACTGACAATTAACGGTTGACAGCAGGTTGAAGGCCCTGATACGGTTTGCTTTTTATGCAATTTCCCCTCCAATACATAATACATCTAATTTCCGTTTACCTATACAATTATAGAGTTTTTTAAAAACCCTGTTTTGTTAGGATTCTCTAACAACACCAGGGAGCTTGCATGCTCAATAGCCCGTAATGACACGCACTACACACGGTTCCTCTTGTACGAAACAGGACAATATATGATATTCATGCCAACGTCTACTTCTTCCTTTACATGCGCACGCTCTTCAATGTTCGCGCCAGCCGTGGGTCATCTTTGGCAGCCTCCGCTTTGCTCTGTAGCCTCCGGCACTGCCGCTCCATTCCTGCCGCTTTCATCGGTAGTTCCGTCGTAGCCTCTGTCCCTTCTTCTGTAATCTCCGGTGTAACCTCATCACGCGGAGAGCTTCTTCTGTAGCATCCGTCGTAGCATCAACCGCTTCTTCTGTAGTCTCCGGTGTAGCCACACCATGAGAACGCTTCTTCTGTAGCCTCTTGAGTAGCCACTGCATCAGCTACAATATAGCGGTAGACCCGGCTGTAGTCGGCTTCGTAGGAACCGATGAGGTTGTGCGCTGACTCCGCAATCGATCTGCCAATCGGGCCACACGCGAGAGCTCATAGCGTCGTCTGGGTCGGATCACCAGGTCTGGTAATCAACATCGCAACGTAGAATCAATATACCACTAGTACAATGTTACAGAGCAAAGTACACGCACTCGCTTACCTGTAGATCACAATGGCGCTCATCATGATCGTCTTCGGCCATGGTCCTTGGCCACTTGGGCGCGCTCGACGGGCCCCAACAAAGCTTGCATTGCGACGTCTTGAACAGCGCAGTTTCGGAATGAAGGAAAGTACGAGTGGCTGACACGCGGCGGTTTTAGGCTTCCACCCGAATTTTCAAACCTGTTGGTGGTTTGTACTCGTCCGTCTATTACGCGGAATAAACCCCGTTTATCTTCCCATCGCTAATCTAACAGGAAGATGTGCACAATACCGGCTATACAAACATCCATATGCGAAGTTCGAAAGAGAGGACAAGTTTGCTGGATATTATGTCCTGTGACAATGCTTATTCTGTAGGATACAGAATACGGGGTTAGAGGGGATAAGACATGTTTAAAAATCTTCCGCTTATTCGTTGTCACAAATGCCGTGGAAGCCGAGGTGTACGCCGCTCTCAATGTCACTCAGCGTGGACTGGAGCCCGATAAATCTCATGGCCACAGCCGACAACCCAATCGTTGCCGCCAACGTGTACACCATGATCGACTCTCGCCTGTACTTCTTCACAAAGTACCCGACGCACTTCAAACCACAAAATCCGCCGACAAAGCCAACGAACGCCAACCACGCCATGAAGTCGAACTGGAACTCGCCCGGGAACTGGCCGTTGATAGCGAACTGCAGAGTCGTCGACGAAGCTGTGAAAAGGATCATAAAACTCGCAGTCGCGGATTGAACCGCAGGCAAGACGCCGGCTTCGAGCATGATGGGGCCCTTGACCATGCCCCCACCAATACCCAGCAGACCAGCAGCCACTCCAGCAATTGTGCACACCGCAGGGAATACCAATGTGCGTCGTTTAACCCAGTGCATATCGCCCTCCACAAAGAAATAGCCGCTGACCACCTTCAAACGGTTCGTCAGACGAAGACGGTAGCCGACGTACAGTGAGATCCCCACTAGGATCGATAGTGGCATGAGCGTGAGCACCCAGTAGTCCGACGAATTACATCCCACGCCTATAGCGCTGGGAGCGCCGTGGCCGCCACGGAGAATCGACTGCACCAAAATGATGAACCAGGACACTACTAGTGGCCAAATGTACTCGAACGGCAGCACTCTTCCCTCCCGACGCTCGATGGTGCCGCGTCGCTGGGCCTTCTTATCGTCGTCCGACGGGAATGTACCAAAACGACGATTGTCACCCACGAGAGGATCCAAGCCGATTGCCTTACGCGCAATAAGTGGAGGCAACGAACTGAAGTCCTCTTCGTCTTCCTCTCGAACCAGACGAGCTTTCCGCGCCCTCCGGGTTTTCTCGAGCCAGTGGCGTGCAGCAACTTCGACGTCGAACCGCTGAAACGAGGCAACCGGCAGCCAGCATTTAGTGAGCAGGGCCACTTAGAACACTATAAAATGCTGTAAGTTAGACGTACCCGATAGATTGACCACGTCCGGCCTCGGCCACGACCATTGGGGCCGCCTATAAGCGTCGATTTGACGAGCGCGTGCTGCAGCTTTGACTCTTTGTCTTGAATCTGATGAAGATTCCAGTTTTAGGGGATTAGCGTCCAAAGCTGAGTAATTCCGTCGAAAAGTACCCGCCTTGTTGCCTTTCAGGACCGTATTGTACGTGATAAACGACATCAGCGTCACTAGCAACACCAGAATGAGCCAATTGGGGGAAATGTGGTTCAGCATCACCCCGAAAACCGTGCCAACCAGTGTCATGGGCTCCATGAGCGCCACCAGCGCAAAATCAATGAGCGGACGGTTCCTGTTCACTGTTCCAAGCCCCATAAACCCAGTTATGAGAAAGGCGCCACAACTCAAAGACTATCAGAAACGTACGTGGATGCTTCCGGCGGACGTTGACGGCGTACATGGCCACCGCGCTGCCGAAAATCGTCACCTTTGACAGCGGGATGGCGTGCTTGGGGTTCAGTCCAGCGAAGATGTACATGGGGACGAGCAACCCACCGCCTCCAATACCCCCGCCCGCGCCCAGCGCAGTACACGAGAAGGCGATCAGCGTCGTGAGCAGGTCGTTGAACGTGAACGGGGCGAAGAGGTTCTTCTCCACGCAGTAGGCGGCCGCCACGGGCTCGCCGGATGACGAAAGCCCGTACTGAGTCTCCATCTCGCCCGTGCCCTCGTTCAGCACCTCCACCACTTGACAGCGGTTGGCCATGTCGCCAGCGTAGTCTCCGCAGTCGTGCGCGGTAGGGCGGCAGTACTCGCATGACCTACAGTGATGACGGCCGTTAGAGCAGGGGTAGAGTGACTGTATACGCAGGTAGTTCGTTCGGTAAAACCCGGTTGGGATCATATAGGGCACAGATCAGAGAATGGATCGGTTTTCAAAACTAATTTTTGTATTGAAAACATATGTTTCGGCAGTGAGCGGTTGTGAGGAGCGTAGCCATAGCAAACGCGCGCGGGGTGCCCGCGAAGCAGGGCCGCGCGGTATTTGCGGAGGCGGGCCCAGCGACGAGCATTCCAGCGAACGGACCCGTTGCCGCAACTCGGAGTTAGTTTTCTTTTTGCGGGGGTCTAGGGGTGCAACCCCCAGAACACCTTTTAGCACGTCAGATCCAATCTCAGATCTGTACCGTATATGACCCCAACTGGAGGTTACCGTTCGTTCTTACCCCTCGATGCAGGCGAGCGCCGGCACGTAGCCGCAGTCGGAGCGTTTGGTGCACGCCGCGCCGACAATGTCCACGAACGGTGCGGGCCGAGGGTCCGTCTCCGTCAAGGCGGCGGTCGCACCCAGCAGCAGCAGTAGAAGCACTAGAGCGAGCCTCATGCTACCGAATGAAGGTGGGGCTCCTCGTGCGGCGCTGAAGGGAAAAGAACAAGTGACGCGTGACGCTCATGGGGCGGCCACGGGTGGAGGAAGGACGCCGTGGGATGCGGCTTCAGCCTTGTGACACGGGTGTTTGATCTACTGTACTGTAGAACGGAAGGAGGTCCACCGGATCAGCTAAGGGCTCACGTGGGTGAGCATTCATGCAGCACCGGTGCGGACGGCGCTCTCCAAGTTGGAGTCCAACACCGGCGGCCTGCATGCCGTACGATGCGGGCTCGTGCGTCTTCCTTCCTGGCCCTGTCTTTGGCAGGCCTTCAGACTGTCCTCCAAGGTGACGAACAAGTTTTATGGTCACAGTTTCGAGCGTGACTGCCGGTCAAGAAGCCATGCCATCGGCTTATACTGCGTGAATGTGGTCGTCAGGGTGCTAAAGCATGATAGCCAAGTCCCACTTCGACACTGGCGCCAGTCCCGACGATCGCCTCTGGTCTCCGTGGTTTACGGCTGGATCAGCGACGCCGTTGCATGTATGGTCATACTGTATAACCTGTCGAGTGTATGACTCATACACTCGCCGACAGGTTATATCGGCCACCCTCGTTTGTGTCCGCAACTTTGCCAATTTTTCGAGTTGGCGCTCGCTATTTAGATATGTTTGAGCTTTGATTGGTAGAAAACCGCTTCATGCGGGAATTCCCAGCCTATCAGGTGGCTGCCATACAACTACAGGCGTCTCCGGGCTAGTCCCGGCTGTATATTTTAATGTACCTCGCACAGGAAGTACAACAATCTCTCAAGATTTGCGCGCTACTTCTGCAAACATATTGATTTAGATGAGTGTACAGCGATACATACTGCGACAAGTGGCACGTTGCGAGGAATACCTCCACCGTATTCTTGAGCTAAGCTTGTAGTAAGTCAGTACATACTCATTTATGCTCGGACGTGAATCTTGTTGATTCGCAAACATCATAAGTACCACTGTGGCGAATAGGCTGGGGACGCCTGTATGTGATTTTGGCACTGCGCCAAGTATAATCAGTCACCCCGAGGCATACAAAATGCAAGTATAAATATACTGGAATGATTGTAACAAAACACATGTTGCCCCCGATTTGCATGGCGGTGGGTGGAGATGATGAAGTGGAGAGGCCGCAGCAGGCGAACAAACTTCATTATCCAGCTAATAAACGTTAACCTAGTTCATATGAATACCAGTTAATGCGATGAAGCAATTGGGCATTGCAGGATGTGTTCTGAAGTGGCTCGCTCGACACACTTTAGCATGGTGCCGAGTTTCAGCTGCCTATGTATGTAAAACGACGGAAAATGGGGCTGGTGACTTCCGCGGACATGTGGAAGCCGCCACACAGAGCATGCACGTCAACGCCAGCTACCACATAAAGGGAGACAACATATCGACCGCTGTCGGTCACAAGAGCGCCGAACGTGCAAGCCACGGCAACGCAGCCATGCAAACCGGGGGCAACATGTGTTTTGTTACAACCACCATTCCAGCATATTTTTACTTGCATTTTGTATGCCTCGGGCTGGCTGATTATACTTTGCGCAGTGCCAAAATCACATTCTTCAGATTTTGCAGGACATCGACCTTGCTCACGAGCATAAGCGCAGGACGGAATGTCCTGTATTTTCCAAATCGAATATCCCGTAAATCATATACAAAATCTAGTATTATTGGCACAGGCTTGACAAAGTCCATCTTTTGTGCTTTTACAGGACAACATGTCCTGCAAGATTTGCTGCATTGCGGATGCGGCATCCGCAATGCAGCAAACTTCCGAGCTAATGCGCCAAGCAGAATATAACACACACGTTGTGTCCGTTAGCGTAGCGTGCCCAGCAGGAAGATACAGTATTCATGGCTCGCTCTGTAGACCAAAGGGCTTTTTAGTGGTACCAGTTAAAGAAATATGAGCTCAGCCATACATTTCATACATTCTCAACACTTTTTTTTTTAACTAAGTCAGCTGTAACGCCGAGTCAAACCAGTACGTATATAAGCTGAAGGATGTACAAACAATAGCTCTACATTACCCCCAGTGCTAATCGAAACATTTAATTGCGGGGACGCAAGCTGGCGGCCTCGGTGTCGGCGCTTGCCATGACTGTTGTATGTGTAGTGTCCCTGGATAGCGAAGAGCAATTGCAGCACCTTCCCTTAGGGCCTGACCCGCTGAAGCCGCCCACGTTTGAGCCTCCGCCGAACGCCCATACCAGAGCTGCTGTACCAGCTAGTTGTCATGGTCGTGATCGTCCTCAAGGAAGTCATCCACGACGCTACCGTAGCGAGCCCTCAGCCTTGATGGTTGCTGGTCTGCGCATGTCATCTCCTGTCCGTCGAGATCCAGGCCAGCATGCCACCCGAGACCGAATCACCTGTACTCGAAGCCCTGATTAGACTTGTAGAGCGTCATCTCGCTGACGATGTCCTTGTCGAAGAGCTGGCCGTATTGTCGACGTCCAGCGTGCTTCAACGCCGACTCGGCAATAAATTACAACTGCCTACGCCGGCTCAGTCTCGACCAGCTTTTCTTGATGATGAAGAGGTAAAGTTATACTACTGTGCACGTGGGGTAGCCTACGGCATGCTTGCTGTTGCGGTGAGGTCAAACACAGGCAAAACTGCATCCTTTGTTAATGTAATTCTGATTGGACAAAATACTACAATTTTGAGTGTCCTGGTAATGTCCTGTAAAATCCGTTCAAGAATCATTATGTGATTTTTTGGCTGCCATACAACTATGTGATTCACATAGTTGTATGGCAGCCCTGGGAATTCCCGCGGGTTAACACATGTAGCGGTTTTCTACCAATCAAAGCTCAAACACATCTAAATAGCCAACTCGAAAAATTGGCAAAGTTGCGGACACAAACGAGGGTGGCCGATATAACCTGTCGCCGAGTGTATTCATGAAGTCGTTGGCATATCCCTGTTGACACTTCGAGGTAAGTACTCGAAATTCGACCTGCAGCACATTTACTATTCACTTCAACGTGATCGAAATTCCTCAAAAATCAGGAATTTTCTGAATTCGGGGGCACCCGGTATGTGCAAGGTGCCTGGTGTGCGGCGTTGACGTGAGTGCCCACCGGCGTCAACCACAAAAAAAATCTGCCACTGACTTCGACCATTTGTTTGCGCTGCTGTTTATTACCAAATAATACCAAATAGCAAATGGCAATTAAGAAGGCTGGGAGCAACGGCCAGTCGAAGGCGTTGTACCCCGCGTGCATCTCCTCGTCGTGTAAAGAGTTGTGCTAGCTTCTTGCAACGATACAAACGAATGGTCTATCTGCCTCAACTTGACATTATCAAGCCTCGGATGTGTTTGTTAAGTTGAAGTTGACAGTGTACGTAAAATCTTACACATGCAATCGAAGCTTGGAAAACTTTGTTGCGGCCATTATTTATCCAGAGCTAAGGGCATCTGGGCTGGACTTACTTACTCATCGTCTCGTGGTTTTGGTTGTGCTGGTTCCGAGTTTTCAGCAGAATCCGTCTGCCTCCTCCATTATATTTAGGTAGCGATTGGTGTTCGCACAAGCACTAACTGCATAGCTAACACAAGCGTCTGCAAACTGTTTGCTATTGTATAGTGAATATGGCTAACAGGTTTGCGGAGTTAGAAAGATGTTTAACCCTTCATCTTGAGGTTCTTTATAGTTGGCGAAAGCTGACTTACAAACACGTTTGCAAACAGCACTTACAGCGAGTTAGTGTGGTGAAAATCAATCACTAGCATGTTTGGCAATCATGTTTGCGGAGTAGACTAGTAGCGATACAGTTATGAAAAATGTGCAGCCACTGTCAATGCCAGGCTCCCCAAATCTATCGCTGCCTTACAGTCGTGCGGCTCGATCGCCTTCTCCTTTAACGCTCGAATTCAGCCACGGACTCAGTAGTACTTACGTACGAAGCTGCGGGGCACGAACGAGAGTGGAAACGCGTTTGGTGAATAGTTCGATGCAGTGCTGTCGGGGTTAAACGCAAAAAATAAAATAAGATAAATAAAATGTGGTGAATCCGCACAGTATTAGAGAGGTTTCGTACAAATTTTCACCTCCACTTTTCCTTCAGAGCAGGTCCTAAATGTGAAGGTAATGGTTATGCCCAACAGAGGTTTCGCCCCATATTCCTTACCCGTGTACCACAAGTGTACCACCCATCCTACAGCCAGTAATATGCCAATGCCTAAAGGCCAAGCAAGCACACACAAGCAAGCAAGTAAGCGGCTGTAACAGGGTTACACGCACAAGTGGCTACAGTCACTTGTAACTCTAACAGATACGACGTCTGTTAGAGGTTCGAAAGACTTTCTCGACCTTGGTGTAGACACACCAAAGGCTATATACATTTACGACCACCACGACGGGTGGTCCATAGAGACTTAGGATTCCTATTGGCTGAGAGCAGCATCTCTTAGCCAATGAGCGACATGCATAGCATTGGAATTCTGTCAACCAGCCGTTGGCAGATTCCTATCTTAGAATATTACATTTAGAGGAAGTCAGAAACATAAAACAAAAATAGCAGTTCTCATTTTAACCCAAAAACATTATTTGGATCGTTTATTTAGATTAATCTATACTCGGAGGCCCGAGTATAATTAACTCTAATTTAAACTAAGCTACGCTTCCTCACATACACGCGCACACGTGTAAGCTAAAGTAGTGAGCCAAAGTAGGCCCACTACACCTGGTAGCACTTTGTAGTCCGTCCAACGACCGACTACCTGAGTTCGTACGTCACCGCACGAACACGGAGCTGAGAACCTTCCCATGGATACAGAGGTGCCCATGGAAAGCTCCACTACGCCTGCAACTCACGTTGCACGCGCTGACTGTCCCCACCTGTCGGATCCAGAGTGGGATGCCCTCCAACGAGATCAACAGTCATTGGTGAGGCGGCTGTAGCTACGATGCTGCGTACGCTAACGCCGACAGAGCAACACGGTGTTGCTCTGGGTTTCATC